GCCCACGGTCAGCCCCTCCCGCTCTGCAGGCCGCCTGGTCCCTGTCACCACTCGTCTCTGCGTTTGTAGCACAGAAGCAGCCACAGAGGACAGATAGAGGAAGGACCGTGGCCTGTCCGCACCATTTTTACATGTCGTGACATAGCCTTTTGATGCCCTTAACCCGGTGAAAATATAAAGCCATTCTCAGCCCTCAGGCTGAAACCAAACCAAACCAACAGGAATGTTTCTCTGGGCCCAGCCCCCCGTTTCGGGCTCCTCTGGTTTACTCTCTCTTCGCAGACTATCTCATCATTCCATTTTATTTCGCTTCAATGTGTGTGGCTTGTGTGTTTTAGCAGGAAAACCTAGTTTTTAAATTTTACTTTTTTATTTATTATTTTAAAATATTTTTATTGATTTCAGAGAGGAATGAAGAGAGCTAGAAACATCAGTGATGACAGAGAGTCACTGATTGGCGGCCTCCGCATGCCCCACACTGGGGACTGAACGCACAACCCAGGCACGTGGCCTGACGGGAAGTCAAACCCTGACCTCCTGGTTTATAGGTCGACGCTCAACCACTGAGCCACACCGGCTGGGCTATTTATGTTTTAAAATAATTCTTTCTAAAATTTCTAGTAACTATGTTTATAAAGTAAAATAAAGAAGTGAAATTCATTTTAACATGTTATTTAACTCAATGCATCCAAAATAGTGTTCCAACATGTAAGCAATAGAAAAGAATTACGAAAGAAATCTTTAAATTCTCTTTTTGGTGGTAAGTCTGAAGCCCAGTGTGTAGTGCACACTTACAGCACAGCTCTCTCGGACTAGCCACATTTTGAGTCCTCGGCAGGCGTGTGGCTGGCAGCTACCATATTGGAAGGTGCAGATTTGGACGGACTGAGACAGGGGGTGTGGGGTGAACTTGGTGTGTGATGCCACAAGAGGGCTGCCCGGCTGAGGCCTGGGAAACATGAGTTAAGGTTGTAAGGGGCAGCTGCGCCATGTGCCCTTGCCAGCCAAGTGAAGCAGCTACATCTGAGTTGGACCCTGTCCCCACCCACCCAGGCAGACCCTCAGCAGAGTAGAGAGGTGAGCAGAAGCAGCGAAATTACTTTTATTGGTCAGTGTGGGAAGATGTCACTTACACCCCAGCGTGCGCCTCCACTCGTCGTTGGTGACACTGGATCGGGTTTGTGGTGGAGGGTGGGGCAGCGTGCTTTGGAAAGGGAGGGTTAGCCAGGGGGCCCAGCTTGGTGGTAGGGCCCTTCCCCTGGGCTCTCTGTTGGGAGAGGGGCTGGAAGGGGACAGACAACCCAGGGGAAAGTAGCAGAAAATGTCAGGGACCCACAGCTTAAAACAGAGGAGACTTTAGTTCTAGGAGAAGCAGGAGTTTCATCATTTCAGGCTTTTAAATTAACTTTCCGACACCTCCTTCAGGGCGAGGGGAGGCCTTCTTCCCTGATTCCTCCGTTCCTCCTGCTGCCACAGGCACGCGTGCACTCGGAGCCCTGCTCCACGGAGGGTCTTCAAACTCCCAGAGCCTGGGGGCCCTTTCCCAGCCCGCTCCCCAAGGGAGCGTGACCAGGATTAGGTGAAACTGGGAACCTCTGCACTGGGGAGGCTGCGTGACCCTCTCCCCTCCTCGCTGACTGGCTGAGGGGAGATGGGCGCCTGGAGTATCCTTTCCCCCAAATCAAACCTATTTTGCCTGGTGGAGGCTCTGCCCCAAGCCCGCCACCTCTGTTCGGTGGAGACAGCTGGGGCTGTGTTTCTGTCCACCTCTGCCCCGAGGCAACTCTGGGGGCCTGCAGCTCTTGGGAGAGGGAAGTGGGGGCAGGGGCCCCCCTGAACTCAGAGTGAGACTGGGACCAGACACCAGGATCACAGACATCCGTCACCAGGGTTGTCCCAGAACAAGGATCGTCTGGGGTCCCCTGAGAGGGAAAATCCCGAGGCCACAGGAAGTCAGGGCAGGAGGGCCCGGGCTCTGTGCCAGCAGCGAACACCCGAGGGAGAAGCTGTGCCACAGCTGACAGGGAAGACGGACTGAACACAAGAAAGACAGCCAGGCTGGCTTTGGGCGCGTTTATTACAAAATAATGAGTACAAATCTGGGTAGAAAAGATCCCTGCAGCCCCTGCGATGCCCCGCCCCACAGGCCCCTCTCAGCCGGGCAGGGAGGGCGCTCAGATCCGCAGGTCGCCTGCCAGGAGGGCTTGGTACCGGGCGGGTGTGAGGGGCAGGTAGGCGCCCCCCGCTTGGTCCAGAACGTAGAGCGGGTCGGGCAGGGCGCTCGGGTCGAAGCCCTCCTTGGCCATCCGAACCTTTTGCTGCTTGAAGGTCTCTGTGGTGGCCAGAGACTCCTGGGAAGGGGGCGTCAAGGGAGCTGAAGGGAGGGGTACGCTGCCCACGTGGCTCAGGTGAGTTGCCTGAATTTTATTAGGGGGCAGGTCTGGGAAAAGGGGGTCATGAGGTCAGGGTTCAGGGGAGGAGGTGACAGGGAAGAGAAGGAGCCAAGTCTAGATATGAAGGGGTGAGGAGCATGTCTGGGAGGAGCTGCTCTTCCTCTTCAGAGTGTGTTATGGGGTGTCCCTTGGTGGGGTTTGGGAGCCACCGACTGCTGCACAGAGATGGGGTACATATGAGGGGCGAGAGGTCGCAGCAGGAGTGGATGGTTACCTGGAGCCGTAGGAACCGGGGCCAGGCGTAAGGTGGCAGGTGCTCAGAAACATAGGCGTAGAGCTGCCCGAGGTCCAGTGAGTGGGGGGGACGCAGCACCAGCGCCGCCATTCCAGCCCGGCCTTCGTGCCCTGGGGATGGGGGGGCAAGGCTCAGCCTCACGCTCCCGGTGCCCAAGTTACACCGACTCCGGGAGGTGGGCCAGGTGCCCCCCCAGCTCCCACGCTTGGGCACCTGGCACGGTGACTCCATAGACGTTCACCTCCTGGAGGAAATCCAGGGCCTCCAAGGCCTCCGCCACCTCGGTCGTGGCCACGTTCTCCCCCTTCCACCTGCCAGAGAGCAGATTCAAAACCGGGAGGTAGGAGTCAGGGCCCCAGAGCCGGCGGGGAGAGCGTCGGAGATGAGGACAGGGGCCAGAGGTCTGGGAGGAGAGGTTAGATGAGGAGCCGGGCTGGGCTGGGCTGGGGGATGACGGAGCTGAGGTTAGGGGGCCCGGGCGACAGAGGTGCGATGCCTGGACGGAGTCAGAAGGTAGGGGCAGATACCTGAAGGTGTCCCCAGTACGATCATGGAAGCGGAGAAAGCCTTGGTCATCGCAGACCAGCAGGTCCCCGGTGTTGAAGAAAAGGTCCCCCGGCCGGAAGACGTCCTTGAGCAGCTTCCCCTGGGCCAGCTCCGGCTTCCCGGCGTAGCCCAGGAACGGAGACTGCTGGCTCACCGGGGCCACCAGCAGCCCTGGCTCACCTGGCAGAGCAGCTGGGGTCAGGGGTGACTGCGGCCCCTACCCCACTCTTCAAGGCCAATCACCCCTAGCCAGCTTCACCCCCCAGCCCCCCCACCCCCAGCACAGACCTGCAGATGTGGCCACACAGTGCCCCCGCGTGTCCCGAAATGGCTCCCCTGTGGTGACATCATAGCGAATCAAAGAGAAGGGGAAGACATGCTGGGGAACGGAGCCCCAGGCACCGGGTCATTTCAGTTGCATGAAGGCCCTCCCAGCCACCCCCGGTGTCCCAGGGGGGCTCGAGCTCCTTCCTCCCCTCACCTTGTAAAGCCAGGAGGCGCGGCCCACGGCGCCCCGCCGGCCGGTGTAGTTGAACGTGGCCACGTTGCCCTCCGTCAGTCCGTAAGTCTCCAGCACCTGCAGGGGCCCGAAGCGCCGCTCGAAACGCTCCCAGGTGTCCGGGCGCAGCCCACTGCCCACCGCCAGCCGGACCTGGTGTCCACGTTCTGCCTGGTTCTGAGGAGAGTGCAAAGAGGGGCAAGAGCTTTCACACCAAGATGCCAGCTCCCAAAGTCAAGTCCTGTTTGTCATCCCCCAGAAATCCTTCCACACCGGGACGCTCAGATTCCCTAAGCATCAGATGTCCTGTCTTTCCGGGCTTCCTCCTCTGCCTCCAACTCCCAGACACCTGTCCCGGTGCCTCCTGGCAACTGCCCATCTCCCTGCCTTGGCGGTCCCCCTTCTCCCCCCAGCATTTGAGCCCACGCACCAAGTCAAGTCCTGTTTGTCATCCCCCAGAAATCCTTCCACACCGGGACGCTCAGACTCCCTAAGCATCAGATGTCCTGTCTTTCCGGGCTTCCTCCTCTGCCTCCAACTCCCAGACACCTGTCCCGGTGCCTCCTGGCAACTGCCCATCTCCCTGCCTTGGCGGCCCCCCCTCTCCCCCCAGCATTTGAGCCCACGCACCGGGGGCTGGTTGACGAGATATCGGCATAATTCCCCGATGTACTGGAACACCGTCACCCTGTGCTTCTGGCAGTCCTCCCAGAACTGACCAGCTGAGAACTTGGACTTCAGTACCACTGTGGCCCCTGCCAGAAGGGGAGAAAGGGGAGGGAGGAAAGAGGTAGATTAAGGGCTGTCGGGGGAGCCCTGTCCCCTTCCTCCCAGACACTAGCTTGCAGCGCCCCAGTAGCATTCTCACTTGTGGGGTGGCCAAGTTGGCCCTCCTCCTTTCCCACCTGTGCCTCAGAGGGCATGCCCTTTCCTCGCCCCATGGGGTACCCTGCCCCAAGTCGCACCCCTCCTCTCCATGTGCCTCCTCCCGGGCTGACACCCCCAGCCCTTCCATCCCCTTGCCCTGGAATGCGGAGTTCTGTGAACACATGGCCTCCCACAGTGCTCAGCCTGCAGGTCTGTGAGGTGACATTTCCCCACGGGACCAGGAGCTCCCGGAGTAGGCCCTGCCTGCCTTCTTGCTCCCTTCTCCACCTGAAGGACTCGGGGCACCCCAGGTGGGCACCCCAGCAGGTGCTTCCTAAATGGGTGCTAGAGGGCGACATGGGGGTTGGCGAGGGGAGACTGACCGATGCCCAAGCAGCCCACGATGCCCAGCAGGGAGCCCGACATGTGGTAGAGTGGGAGGGCCAGGTAGATCACATCCTCCTGGTGGGCACCGCACAGCTGGTAGAAGCCCTGGCACTGCAGGACCTTCAGGTGACTGATCCGAGCAGCCTTGGGGAGGCCTTGGGGGAGACCAGGGGAGGGCTCAGCGCCAAGCCCTGCCTCCCTCGTCGCCCCTGCTGGGTTTCCCACAGAAAGAGGCACAGAGGCAAAACCGAAGCTGAGAAGGGAGGCCAGGCTGACTTGGAAATGTGGGAAGATCGGGGAGGCGGAGAAAGGACCGGAATGAGAGGGTTGGTGAGAGAGGACAGGGCCGCTGGGATCACCATCTCCTCCGGGGGGGTTGGGAGGGGTGGCCTGGGAGCTGCGAGGTCCCAGGTCCTGTCCCAGACCCTTGTTTTCCTCTGCCTGAGTTTCTGGGAGGTAAGCATGGTGACCGGCCCTCACCGGTAGTACCAGAAGTGAAGATGTACAGGCACGTGTCCATTATGCTCTGCGGGGCAGATAAGTATCCGGGCACCGGTGCGTCCACTTCAGCGGAGACCTCAGCCAGCAGATCGCGAATTCCAGCGGAACGGGCTTCAGGGCCTGCAGCCCACAGGTGCAGCCCCATGGCTCTCAGGGCCGGCAGGTCAGGCTCCAGGGACTCCAGGAACTCTGGATGCGGCCGGAAAGCACAGCTCCGCGCTCCGCCCACCGCCACCCACAAGCCTTTCCCACCCCTTAGCTTATTGGCGTGGCCACTCCCCTACCCCCCGCCCGCCCTGCTCTTGGGTGAGAGTAGAGGATGAACGTCCATCCCTTCGCAAATCCCCAGTCTCCTCCCCACCCTT